GCAAGGAGCTTGTGGAGAGGAGCGGCAATAGTGGCAAAGTTGCGAATGAAGCGGCGAAAGTACGATGCGAGTCCAAGGAAACTGAGTAGTTCTTTGGAGCGAAAGGGTCGCGGAAAGTTGAAGACTGCGGAAATTTTGTCAGGATCGGGCTGGATGCCATCTTTACTAACGAGATGTCTTAGAACTTTTATAGCTGTGTTGCCAAAATGGCACTTCTTTGTGTTTAGTTGAAGTCTAGCATTAGAGAGACATGTGAGCACTTCATCCAGGCGTTGCAGGTGATCAGCAAAAGTGGAAGAAAACACGACGATATTATCGAGGTAACATAGACAAGTTTTCCACTTGAGGCCAGGTAGAACAATGTCAATCATCCTTTCAAATGTCGCGGGAGCATTACATAGGCCGAATGGCATTACGTTAAACTCGCAAAGACCGTCCAGCGTAGAAAAGGCGGTCTTTTCTTTGTCTGCTTCGTCCATTGGTATTTGCCAATACCCGCACTGAAGGTCAAGGGTGGAGAAGTATTGGGCGCCTTGCAATGAGTCAAGTGCATCATCTATACGGGGTATCCGATATACATCCTTTCGGGTAATCTTGTTGAGCGCGCGGTAATCTCAACACAAAATCGTACTGATCCATCCTTCCTTTGTACCAGCACAACGGGTGATGACTAAGAACTGGTAGAGGGTCGTATGATGTTTCTTTTTAGCATATCGGTCACATTCTTCTCGATGATTTTGCGCTCGGCTGAGGAGATTCGGTAGGGACGACGGCGTACAACAGTCTGACCGTCAGTGTCGATGCGATGATGCGCAACTGTGGTCTGTCCTAGTGCCGAAGCATTGGCGTCGAAAGACGCCTGGTGTTTCGTTAGCAAATTTTGCAACGCCTCACGTTGAGAAGCAGAAAGGTCAGGATTTTTCCCGGGAGCAAAGGAGGAGGAAGTAACAGACTGGGCCTGTTGTGGCTGAGCTGTCAAGGCGTCAAGAGAAACCAAAGATACCGGTTGGGTATCCACATAACATGACACTGCAGAACCTTGGGGTAGGAGGCCAGGCTCTGGGGTAGGGTTCAGGCCAAGGATTATCGCAGCACTGTCTTTGAACAGCACCGGGCTGGAGGGGACTACAACGCCACGATCTAGACAGATGCTGGAAAGGGTGATAAGGACGTCACCATTCGCAATTCTCGAAGAAGTGATGGTGAAGAGTTGCTCCTTACCCGGGAGCAGTATGGATTCGGAAGCTGTGAAGAAACGCAATGGTTTTTCGTCGACGCGTTCGCTGCACTGATCGGTCTCGGTCATTTCGACTACACGTTGAAGGCAAAAAATTAATGCAGCCAGATGCTGATGAGAGAAAGTCCCAACCTAAAATTAGTTCATGAGCACATAAAATAAGACGACGAAGGTGATGTGATGATGAATACCATCAATGAAGACACGTGCTGTACATTGGGCCGATGGTGTAATTATTGCTCCATTGGCCCCAATCAAAGATGATCCAAGGTAGGGTGTCTTCACTTTCCGCAATCGAGAACACAAGTCGGCACGCATAACTGAAGTAGTTGCTTCGTGTCCACCAAAGCCAACACGCACACACCTTGCACAGTTTCCAATATCGTGTTTGACGGTCGTTTAGGAGGACTTGGGTCATTTCGCCGCGATGCAGTTTTCCCTCCAAAAACTGCACTGTTTAGTTTTCCGATCGCTGGGCAGCCAGTTGAGAAACAGGGTGAAGTGGTGAAACAGAGCGTCGGAGTGGTGAAGTGGAGCGTGGTCTGGATGCACGTGTATTGTTGGTCGTGTTGGAAATGCGCACAGGAGACGGTGATCGGTGGTTGGAACGACTGTCGGCATAACGGTAGTAACCTCGAGCACATGTGTCGTCTCGTTCAAAAGCGGCATAACCACGACGTTCATCTTGCTGCCGACGTCGACATACCCGGGAAATTTGTCCTCGAATTCCACAGCAGTAGCAAATAGGCCGTGGGGCCCGCCAGGAAGAATGGTTGGTTGGGTTTGATGGACGGGAAACTAGAGGTGCGAGATGTTCATGATCAGGCACAGCTGGTTGTACTTGAGACGGCGAGGGTTGCATTGAAGCGATCTGTGCATACGAAACGGGTTGGGGGCATGGTGGAGCACGGTGGGTGCTTTCAAACGCTGACATTTTTACCCTAATAATGACACGCAGATCGCTAGAGGCGGGTTGAGCGGGAACGTTGTTAGAAGGAGGTAAACTGTAGGCTTGAAATTCCTCACGAACTATGGCTCGAATGATGGATCAGAGCTCCATACTGTTTGCCAGGGGGTTCTCAGAGAAGTCCGGTTGCAGGTGGATTGACTGCAAGGTATCAAGTCGCTGGCATACAGAGACGACGTCGGAAACCGTCGAAGGGTTGTGCGCGACGAGGGCGTTGAAAGCGATAGGTCCGATACCCTTCAGAAGGTGGCGGACACGGTCACCTTCTGGCATGGTGTCGTCGATACGGTGGCAAAGTGCAAGCACATCCTCAATACAGGAAGTGTAGGACTTACCGCAATGTTTAACGCGTTCTGGCAGTTTCTTGCGAGCAACCTCTGAACGGACGGTTGGTGTGCCGAAAATTCGTCGGAGCTGGTCTTTTAAGGAAGACCAATCGCAGAAGTTGCTCTCATGATTCAGGAACCCTGTCTTGGCAACCTGAGAGACGTAAAACTGGACGCGAGCTAATTTTGATGCCTCGTTCCAGTTGTTGTAGACACCTACAAGGTCACAGTTGTCGAGCCAGTCTTCGACATCTTCACCAGGCAGACCGGAGAAGATTGGTGGCTCCCTAGGGGGGTTGTTGACCGGGCTAGGGTTGGCGGCTGGTGGTTGCGCCAGCGGGTGCTTCGGTTGAGCTTGCTCTTGTGCCATGGTGCTCTGCTGGCGTAAGCGACGTCCCGAACGGAGCTGCAGGAGTTGGCTTTGGATTGAGAGTGGTCGAAGAGATCGGGAAGCACCTTCCATAACTTGAAATACAACGGTTCAGCTGACGCTTTATTCAAGCAACAGCAAGATGGCGCCGATGATGAAGAGGAACGGAGCGAAGACTGATGATGGTTATTGACAGATAAAGAAGATGACGTCCAATGAATTCTTAAAATTTATATATATATATATATATATATATATATATATATATATATATATATATATATATATATATATATATATATATATATATATATATATATATAATGTAGTGTTCCTACTTAAAGAACGGAAAAGCATTATAGCCTCAGTATGGAACTAGCGTCCACCTTGGCTTTATCCCTAACTTCATTAACTTCATCCTTCTCTTCTTTCCTGACCCCCGGCTCTCGTGCTTCTTCTCCTGTCCCAAGGCTCATACAGCTTTCATCTTTCCCGGTTTCTTTATTTTATACTCTCCTGGGGAAATATTTGAAGACATTTCCAATTGAAGCACATCCAACTGATCCACGTTCACCAGTGTACCAGACAGTTTTCAAAATTAGGTTCTTTGGGCTCACTTGGTCACATAGTAGAGACCGTAAAATTGGTGCTTTCAACTTTGATTCCTTTTCTCACTAGTACGAGGTCAGTGACCAGAATATCTGACATGTCTGCTCGATGCCTCTGGTCGAAATTCTTTTTCATTCGTTTTCAGTGTCTCTCCTCCTGTAATTTTTCTTGCTTCTCCTTGACGATCTTGACGTTTTCTAAGGGTCCCAACTCACGGTCTGCCTGCAGAATAGGGGTTTCTCCTGAAAAAGCGTATTGTGGACTGCACGCCAAGCTACTTGTATAGGATCGATTATGATGTTTCACGGTGGCATTTAAAGAACATTTCCATCCTCCAGGAAAACTATTGTACATCTTTATGTACTGTTTCAGGGCCCGTATGGCACGTTCTGCCAGCCCACTCGCTGCGAAATAGTATGGAAACAGAAATCGATCGATATATTGTGATCCCGAACCCATCTTGCCAACTTTTCGCTCTTGAACGCAGGCCTGTTATCGCATACGATTGACCACGTAGTCTTAAACATGTCTCTTTCGAGGAGGGTTATGACGCTATTTGCATCTTATTTCCTGCCGGTGTGGCAACCATCCTCGTGCATTCATCTATGGCCAAAAGAAAAGCTTTCGTTTTCTTTACTCGTTCCCATTTCTCATTTAGTTCGGCGAAAGTCAGATGAACTACTTCTAAAGGTACGTTCGAGTGGCGAGGTAGTAAAAAGCACCCGTAGGCTGTTTATCTTAGTGTACTTGACACACATGGCAGGAACGAACGTACTGACTGACGTCTTTCTTCATGTGAGGCCATGTAAATCTCTTGACCAATTTATTGTAGGTGTGCCAAAATCCATCGTGTCCTCTAGATTCCGGGCTATCGCGGTACAAATAGAGGACTCTGGAAACAAGTGTTGGTGGGTCTTGATACCGACCTTCAGTAAAAACCAGTTGTTAGGAGCCCAAGAAAAGAATAGATATTTTTTATATATACTAAAATAGGAAGATAGCTGAGGATTCTGCCCTGCGGCTGGAGGGCAGACTGTTTTTTAACCAGGCATCTCCATGAATTCTTTCAGGCCAGAAAACCACAGAGATATACAAAAAGTGGATATCACAAACTTTACTGTATTTATAGTTATAATAATAATCGCTGGAGATTAACGTCCCAAAACCACGATATGATTATGAGGGACGCTGTAGTGGAGGGCTCTGTGAATTTAGGCAACCTGGAGTTCTTTAACGCGCATCCAAATATCAGCTCACAGGCCTAGATCACTTTTGCCTCTCTCGAAAATACAGCCGCCCCGGCCGGGATTCGATACCACAATCTGCGGATCAGCAACCGAGTGCGTCAACCACTAGACCACCACGGCGGGTCGTATTTTCAAGTTTAAGAACTATTTTGTCATATAGGACTGCACTAGATGATCTAAGGTAGCCTATAAAACAATAAGGCACGTCATTATACTTATTATGAATGTTTTATTCGAATTTCAGTCAAAACATCTCGTATGAAGTTCGTCCAGGACGTAAACCTAACCAGTTTCTCGTCAAAAATCAAGACAGTAAGTACTTGTTCACTCACTTCAAAGGATCAATGTTATTGTGATAGCAATTAGAAGGACACTCTGAGCTAGATTTTGCCGCCGGCTTTGGTGTCGCAGTCACTTACCGTATATAAAACCGTATCTGTATATATGAAAATGCAAGAAAGAAAAACAAAAACCCAGAAATTCACTCCGACGTGCGGAATCGCACGTGAGACCTCTGCGTCGTCAAAGCGAGGCTTTAACCACTCAGCCACCCCAGAGCACGTCCTTCACCACCAATACGGGAAGCTATTAAAGACGATATCTTTCTTGGGGACCTTCGACGCCAAAATTATGGTCGGTCTTTCTGCCTGTATGTCCATCCTGTATGTTCCTGTCTGTACATTTGTCTGTTTGTCCATGGCATCAATCTTGGATCCGCTTAAAGGCACCAAACGGTCCCTTTAACGGTCAATCCCATCCGCAGCGTCCACCAATATTGCTCAAGTTTCAGCGTTCATACATGTGTGATGTTAAATTAAAACACTTACTGCGCATATATGAGGTACCATAACAACACATCGATGTTTTGTATGTGTGCCTTTATACTGGAGAAGGCACACACAAGTAATTCTAAGGACCGTAGCATTTAGCACGCTGCGCTGACAATGCAACGCGATGCTCAAATAGGCAAGCGTTTCCAACGCTTTGCTAAGACGACAGGGTGGTGGCACCTGCCCGTCGCTTCGCGTTCTACTCCTTATCGCCTCCGAGACAGGCGCGCATCTTTCTCCGTGGGCGCTCACACTTTCCTTCGTTTTGGAAGATAACTGTCAGATGACGCTTGTGCCTAACGTGCCTCGATGCGCTCGTTTTCCTTCGCTGCACGGATCGAGAGAGTCTCTAACGCAGCGCTTTCAGAATACGATTCACCGATTTCGTCACCCAGAACAGTAAATAAACGTTTTGTTCACTCTCTCCCCACGCAAGACTATTGTCTTTCGACGACATTTGCAGTGAAACATGTAGATACGGTGCCATTGTTTTATATATATATATACCACTTGCCGCTGCTCACGAGCATCTCGGGGATAATTACGTTTTTCAGCATTACCAGCCCGATGGCGCAATGAGTGTGCGTCGCCACATTGCGTGGTGGCGCCCACTTTAATCTTCTACGCGTACATTGCTTGGCTTAGAGAAGGAAACCGACGCTCCCTCGCGCGTTCTTATATCGTGGTGGCGAGGAGGGGAGGATCGTACGTCTTCGTTGGCCTCTGCATGTACCAGGAACGAATCTGCTGTAATTATCGGGTGCAAAAAGGTCACTGCAATCATTGCAGTCTCCATTTGCGAAAAGCGTGCGTTTTTCACACAAAGCAAAGTAACTCATGATACGCTTATTCGCGTGCATACGTACCTGTGAGTACGTTTCGTGCGCTATTTGTGCGTCAGAAACGCAGGGCACGTTTCGATCTGCTTTCCATTCTGCACGTCAGTTTGTTGCTATCGCGTTCATTGCTTCGTCTTTACGGTAAAGCGGAGAATTTTTCAATGTCTCAGTAAAATACACCCACTAAAACAAATTCATAAGCCGGGCAAAGTTGGTAGCAGTATGGTGTCTCCTGAATCATCTATTGAGCTTTTGGCGCAAGGTGGTGATTATTGAGTGACATAAACACCAAATACAGAGAACTTCATGGAACGTTCAAGGCATTATTTCCGCTTTAATGCATGGGCCTTTAATAAACTGGATACGGATGTCGGAAGCAAGGCATTATACAATTCAACGCCTCAAACGTGAGCCTCGAACGTATGGCCCGTCCCTCACCAGTTCTCTTTTAGTTATCGGTACAGCAGCCAGTACCTCCCGCGGCGTTCCTTTGTTACATAAGCAGCTCTTGCGGTTGTGTTCAATCACGTGGTTATGATATATTAGGCAACTAAGTGATACATTTTCTAGCACTCTCTCACAGCGCCTGGTCACAGGAAGCATGACCTCCATGGCTTGTTGAGGAAGGAAGCTTTAATAAAGAGAGAGCAACGGTCCAAGCGTATTGTGGGAGGAGACGTCGGCACAAATGGAACTTCTTCAAGAGAGTACGTTCAATAATAGAAGTGACTTCAGGCTCCTCACGAAAGACATATAAAAGCTTCCGTTCTTCTTGCTGGCATGGCAGGTGAGTTTAGGTTTCATCTGCAAAGACTGTCGGGATTGCTATAGGTACTAATGGTCCCACTATGTTTGAGGAGCTTGGACATTTTAAAAATAATGCTATTAAGTGTACGCGCTGGACGAGAGTAGTAGTGTTTATTCGAGTGCTTACGAGAGTACCAGCGGTATATAAGGCTCCAATATTCGATGCTTAGTGTGTAAATGCCGATGCTCTTAGTAGCAGATCAGAGCACAAGGTGGCCGGCACTGTTCTCGCCGCTATCAATGTACAGCTTGAAGTGCTTACGACTCGAACCTTCCACTCTCCGGGCACGGTTAAGCCCAAGCAAAAAAAGTTTCGTGATGTACACGCCAACTGCTGCTTTCGTCAACGCATATTCAAGCTGTCATCAATATTTCTCCTGCCAGATTTAGTAGAAACTTTTTCTCTTACTTTTCAGCCGATGAACCTGTTCAAGAGGGCACTTATGACTACACAGACTACAAGAGCTGCGTCGTCATGGAAATGCCTTACCATGACAGTGAAGGTAAAAAAGAGCGAGGCCTTTAAAGAACGAACAGCTTACGTCCACGTTTCCACCAATTAATAGTAACAAAGCTTCATTTAGGAATCATTAAAATAACACCGTATAACAGAAAAACCCCTGAGTGTAAAGATAATGCAAGTTTAATGCAGTGACTCGATTATCACTACTGAGAACCACGTTCTTGCACTCAGCAACATTTTAAGATAAAAATTGTTTCAATAGCTCTCCCGGTATTCCCTGAATGAAGTTTCTGGATAGAGCTGATGGATAACTTGTCTATCCACAGACGATTTAAAAACTTGAAATACATGCACAATGACGAATTGGGGCCTGCCTGCACCTCTCTTCCTTATACCCTTGTTCTGGTTGTACTCAATTAACCTTTTTTATCTCCAGAATGCCAGTCAGAGTGTCTTAGCAGAACAAAATGATGTTTTTATGTAGACTAATTTAACTATGCAAACTTTGCAGGTGTATATATATATCAGTTAATACGTGGCAGTCGCACCCGACAGCCATCTCACCATGTAGAGTCAGAAGCGAAGTACTTCTTTGCCTCATAATTGATAAGTGCAGCAAGAAGAGAAGACAAATAATAAATGCTACTTGACCAAACCCGGGTGCCCATTCAGTGGGGAGTCTTTATGAATAGGAACGTAGTTGTAAAATTATTCGAAATTCACATTCTCATCCAACACATCTAACGCACGAGTTCTCCGGGACATCTTCATCTAAGAATGCAGCAAATATCAAGATTAGCAGTGCTTTGATATCTGTTAGTAGACCTTTTGTCCCATGAATTTACTTTGGACATCCTGACTCCCCCGGAAGGACTTCCGAATTAGCATGACATGTTTCATTCCGATATTGCGGTCTTCCGCGGTAATAGCACAGCAGAATTACGGAATCGTTGAAATAAATGAAGACGTATTTCCAACCTGAATATACTATAACACGTTACAATGAAGTTCAAACTTTATTTGAAAAGAGGTAAACAATTTTTAGGGCACATAAAAGCAGGTCACTTTTCGGAAAGCCGACGCAAACGAGCAAAGACAGCCGTGGTGCAAGCTCTGCGCAAAGCGTGTTTTTTTTTTTTTGAAAGTAGGAAGTATACGGTTTCGGGGGTAGGGGCAAGTGTTAGCTGTGTTATGCATTTAAATTGACCATACAAAGTGTTGTACAAAACTCATGGTTTTGAAGTGTCAGATTTGTTGTAACTGAGCTAAGGCTCTTCTCGCTCCTTTGTTTTTTCACGTGCACTGACAACATCTCTCCTGGCGCAGAATGCGTCCTGTGGGTCACCTGGAATGTCGTCAACGACATCCCACAAGATTGCCAAGATCAATACGAAGACAACTGCGACGATGCAAAGCTGGCTTATGACAAAGAGTCCTGTGGTGCCTTCGAAAATTTTAACTAAATAAATCTGCCATACTTGCCGCAACTAAGATTGTTGCCTTCTTTCCGTCAGTTTCTACCGTCGATGTTTTTCTGGAGCAATGCCCAGACGTAACCCATATGAATGTGCACTGTCTTTAGGACTATATAGTGAGCGCAAAATGGCTGAAAAAGTAAAAATAAAAGTGCAAGGTGACTCGGCTTTTGCGACCCCTTATTATTTTTTTTTTGCCGATATTGTGGTACGTGGTCATAGCTTTATGGTTCCCGCACAGAACTATTTGGTTAGCCCAACAGCAAGTCTTTCTCAGTAACCGCAAAGAGGTGGAGAAGCTCTGTAGACGCAGCAGATACTGACTGAATGGCTGCAACACGAAATAGTTTATTTAACAATTGAAAAGATCGCAATGATTTGAAAAAGAGGAGAGACGTGCGATAAGAAAGTATGTGACAGTTCCAGGTCAAGGCCGAAGCAATGAATGCGATAGCTGCACATCGCGCTGCTATACGAACTAAGGCTTACGCGGACATACCTATTCCCATAAAAAAGTGGCAGGTTTCCGGATATGGGAACAAATTTAAGGAAGTCAACGAACACGCACTTAAGCTACGCTTAACTGATTCCGCTGAAACAAGAACAGCCGTCTTTCTTCGTTTACTGGGACAGTGTGCGCCCGCATTCTATACCTTTTGGCGTCTCCTGGAGAGGTGCTCGTGAACACGAGCTCCCTTTTTACGTATCCAAACTACGAGACACCACAATGTGTGAATTTTAAATATTTTGATCGCCGAACGCCTACACACTGTGTAATCCATGCCAAAAAACATGTTTGAACTTCACAGACACTCTAATGAAGCTGAAGAGGTCAAACTAATTCGTTCATATCTGTATCGAAGCAGCCAACGTGTGCTCACTGCAAAGTAGTACTGAGACCTCTTAGAACAGAAATCACACAACAAAGCAAATTTTTCATAGTGTCTCCGAGCAGACAACAATTCGGATGACTTTTTACAGACCTGATTGTGTTAGCGCGTATACCACGGAGATACTGCAACCTATAGCATATATCCTGTTTGCTATTTCTACTGCGCGTGTTTTGTTACATTAGCGTGCACCCGCCAGAGTTCCTGCCTCAATGAACCCTGCCCACTTGCTACAGCTTCCGGTAATCCAAATCTTATATTCCAAAAGAATAACGGTGTACTGAAGCAGTTTTATGGCACGCAGTAACGATCATTAACAGCCTTTGCTGCATTTCCTTCCCACAAAGTGGCGCTGTAATACAATAGTACTATAAATATTGCTATGAATACTTGTATTTCACTATTAAGATGCATTTGGAAAAGGTATTGGCACATTTGTAGCGAAACAGTTTCAAGATGTGTGCGTTACATCGTATTAGTGTGCCGGACACGCGAATATAATTTTATTTCTTGTCGGGAAGGAGACGACGTGTTTCCGAGTGGGAAAAAAATATTTGTTTCCGCTAAGCATGTGTGCGCCGCCACCCTGCAACACAGTGAGAGAGGTACAGGGATTCTCACACGTGAAGGGTGGTAATGTTATAGAGCGTACAATGGCACAGGCAGCCGAATCGTGGAGGTAGTATGTCGGTTCTTACGATGGAACTTGCCTTCTCGTTAGGCCTCTTTCATTCGATATGTGAAGTTTAACATCCCAAAATCACGACGTGACTATGATGGAAACCGTAGTGGAGGAGTCCGAAAATTTCGACCACCTGGGTTCTCGCTAGGCCGCTCAAAGGGACACTAAAGACAAATAATGTGCCGACGATTATTGTTGAAATAGCGCTCCAGAAATATCGTTATGCTTGTTTTGTGCCAAGCAAGTGATTATTTTGAAAAAAAATCTCGTTTTAATGGTCCACACCGTGTTAGTGCACTTAGAATCACCAGCTCCTGCAAGCGGTTTTTCGTACGTACCACTGTAAGCACGCCCAGCGTTGGCCGCTTCCACTACGGGGCCACCGACACCAGTAGCAGCAGAGCGAAAGTAGCTGGAGCCACCGTAGCAACAATGGCCATTGAACTTCAGTGTACTAGAGGTGTAGTACACTCTAACTAAACAATTTTCTGCAATCTCTACAACCATTATTCTGCTTGCTTGGTTCTACTGAGCCCCGCTAGATGGCACTACCTATCCAGCCTTACCAACCGAAAAAACTGAACTTCAGAATCACTCGCGTCATTTTCCATAGCAACGCTTGGTGCTTCTTCATTCTATATGTCTAACAGAAGTGGAGAAACAGCATTCCATCACATTTATTGATGCAGGGAAAGTTACTTTTTGATTGCAGCTAGTTTGGCTATCAGTGATTAATTGTAGTTGGACACTTTCGCGTTATCGAGATCATTTCGCAATTGTCCCACCTGTGGCGCACATCGTGTGATACGTTTAGCTTAATTTTATCATAAGTAAGGCACTGCTGTTAATAATAACTATTTTAGACATTGTCATACATTGCAACTTCACACATTGTAACAAAAGCTACGCCATGCACTGTGTTGTAAAGCTTACAGTCATATCCACTAAAGCAATATGCCAAGGTATCGCTCGAATGTACTCCCCAGTGGCTGAAGCCGTAGGGACAAAATCAATATGAAAAAATGCCTGGCTTGCGTGCAACACACATCGCAGTTTCAGCGGAGCCGTCTTTTGAGTGTCCGCTGTAGCTGTCTTTAGGCGGACACACAATTGATTGATATGTTGTGTTGAACATCCCAAAACCATCATTTGAATATGAGAGACGCCGTAGGGGAGGGCTCTGAGAATTTCGACCACCTGGGGTTATTTAATGTGCACCTAAATCAAATCACGCGGGCCAACAGCATTTTCGCTCTACTTTTTCGCGTCGATGACATGCACGCCACTTCTATTAAGGTACAGGTAGTGATATGCACGATACCAGAGGTACTGGTGCGTGATAGCCACCTGCAAAGAGCGGTTGTCAACGCAAACCAAGAGATATGGCGGATGAGTCGAGAGAAAGGTTTTGAGGTGGTGGAAATAAACAGAGAGGTGCATAGGTGGGGGGGTTTTCAACGAGACAGAATTCACTTCGATGGGCGGCTAGGTCATGAGGTGGGTTGGCGACTTGCAGGACGCGCAGTAGCTTTTTTGGGGGGCAAGCGAGCCCTTCGGGGTGCAGGATAGCTAGTAACGAGGAAAACAACCAGGGAGACTCTTCGACAGGTGGTATGGACAGATACGATTCCAAAGTGGCACCAGTATCTAAGATAGGTAGAGTCCGGGGCATAAATAGACGTAGCCACGAGCGCCGATCCAATTCAGGCATAGGGTATATTAACATGCAGGGTGGTAGAAACAGGCTGAAGTGGGAAGAGATAGAAGAATAGCTAAGGGAAAAGAGGCCGATGGTATACGGTTTTGTAGAAACACATCTCAGGGACATGGAACAACCTCCGAACAATCTAGACTACGCGTGCAAATATTGTAATAGAACAGAAGGCAGCAGAAAGGGGGGGTAGTATTGGGGCATTCATTCATAAAAGTACAGACTGGCAAAGGGTGAAGCAGGAGCGCAAGGAACATTTATGGCTAAAAGGGAAAGTGGCAGGTCAAATGACACTCCTTGGTTTCGTGTACTTGTGGACGGGAGCAAAGGCCATAGAGGAAAACCAGGCAATGGTAGAGTGTATATCAAAGGACATTCAGGAGTTAGGAAGAGAGTGCGAGATAATTATACTAGGAGACATGAATGCGCACATAGAAGATATAGATGGGTATACCAACTCGACAGGCAAAATGATCATGGATATGTGTGAAAGGCTTGATTTGATCATTTGCAACAGTACCGAGAAGTGTGAAGGGCAAATAACATGGGAGGTAGGAAGGCTGCAGTCGACGATAGATTATGCACTGATGTCTCATAGGATGTATGATAAGCTCTGGGGAATGCACATAAATAAAGTTGGCTCCAGAAGTCTGGGTAGTGATCACAAACGTATCGAGCTAAGTTTTGGAAGAGCAGTGAAAGTGGGAAGAAGACAAGATGAGCAACTACAGCAAAATTTTAATTCAGAAAGGCTAATTGAAATAGCCACTAAACAAATTGAGAAAGTAATCACGGAGGATAATAAGACAGTGTGGACATACACGAATCTAATTAGACTGTTTGAGTTGGAGCTTGCTAAGACGCGTTACAAGTCACCCCGGGAAACAAGACACAAACCCAAAAGTTGGTGGGATGAGGAAGTTGAGAGAGCCATAGCAAAACGTCGGGAAGCTTCTAGGGAACACAGACATGCTAAGCAGCTGGGTGAACCGACAGATGATGTTGAAAGAAAATTGGAAACCTTTATGAGCTGTAGAAGGAATGCATCCCTTCACATTAATGAAAAGATTAGACGAAAAGGAGCTCAGTGGCTGGCAGAAGTACATAAAAAGATAGAAAGGCAGCTGTAAAATTTCGGAACCATCTAAACTCCCTCCGAAATGAGACTAGCCTAGAGCAGAGGTTTATAACTACAGCCCAAGGTGCTAGGCTAGAAGAGGACGAAGCGATTGAATATATAAGAACAGGGGTGACAGAAAATTTCAACAAAGAAGTGCTTTATGCACCACTATAGACGAGGATGAATCAAGTGGAGCAATGGCTCCATTTTCACAACAAGAGTGGGAAAGGGCTGAGAAAAGGGTTCCTAGTAGTACATCAACAGGCGCAGATGGCATTCCAATTAGGCTGATAAAAACATTAGGTCCGAAGTCTAAACAGGCTTTGAGAGAGGCTGTGAGCAAACTAATAATCGATGGTGAAGTTTACGATGGATGGAAACTTAGCAGGATGAGCATGATAAATAAAGGAAAGGGGGACAAAGCTGACATAAACAACTACCGTCCCATAACAGTTACATCAGTGGTCTACAGGCTGACGATGCAGATTATAAAGGAAAGACTGCAGGCATGAATAGAGGATGAGGGGGTGCTGGGGGGACTGCAGAATGGGTTTTGGAAACACAGGAGGCTGGAAGACAATCTGTTCTCACTGACCCAGTGCATAAAATAGCA